AGAAGCCCGTAACGTAGATGGTATATTTCTTAAGTCAGGGGGTCGTTATAAAATATCAGGAATCAGTCACTTCGAGTGTGCCGTAAGTAGTCAAAACTCGGGATCGCCATGGTATGAAAAAGGTCGCCACTTCTAGCACTCGTGTCATGACATGCATCTATTTGGTGGTCTTCTCATCGGGTGACCGACAAATTGAGTGTCGTACTCATTAAATCAATAAGGACATGTGCATTGTCTCTAAGCTCCACGGTGTCTGTGGAATAAAGTGTCTCTCGGTTTCAGGTCTCCAAAGCACCAAAGTAAAGCAAAAGCAACGTTTTCCATGAACTGCCGTGAGCCTTGATCGTAAAACTGCGACGCCGAGGAGCACTAAACATCAAATCATGTAGATTTTCCTGATGTTAACGTGTGAGATCTATGACTTGAGTCAGCGAAGCCTTTGATGCGTAACGCATGCTGTCTGATTGCGAGACGAGGCCCAGCTTCCTTGATTTTACGTAAGTTGTTCAGTGCATTAGCGAGGAACCTTAGTTACATAAATAAAACAGTAGTATGAGCCTTATTCTTGGGAAAAACCAGGAGAATAGAGATATAGCGAGGTTGATATTTCGGTCACATGCCTTTCTCGAAACAATAGCAGAAGTGAAAAAGAAAAAAATAACTGTGGCTTGCCCTTTCAAAGAAAAACCCTGAAAAACCGAGTAGCAACATCGGCCGGGAATTTTAAATTCGCCTCTTCTATTGTTTCGATGATCTTTATATTAAAGGAATTTACTTTTGCTTTTGTTTCGAGAAAGACATGTTGCCGAAGTATCAACCTAACTGTATCTCCATTCTCCTGTTTTTCCGAGAAATAAGGCTAATACTGTTGTTTTCATCTTGCTTTGCTGAGATGCGGTTTACCCGGTGCTGAACTGTGGGTAGATCGTTTTTAAGTTGAGTCCAGAAAGGACAAAGTTGTAATTTCTTAAGTGGCTGGAAGGACAGGCAAAAGCTGGCCAAACTAATCGTTCCGTTTTTTGGTCCCAGGCTGCTTATGCCTTCCCCTATTATCTGTCTCTTCCTTTCTCTTTCACACCCATGCTAAGTGAATGTTCTGAGCTCAGAGCTCTGATACTGACAATAATAGCTCTTCATTATACCAGGAAAAGCGACAGAACGACGCTCTCAAGCGAACATTTTGCTCATGGTCGAGAAAGACGTTTTTCCTGCTTATATCAAGCTTGTTGCCATACTGACGTAACAAAATTACTTAGTTTAATGTAAAGCAACAAACAACCACATAATTCATGAAACGGAAGGCTTATTATTACCGCCACCAGGCGAGCTGCATAAAGAGTCCGACAAGCAGCCCGGACTGGGTTTTTGCAGCTGCACCATGCCATAACCGCGTGCTGCATCGTTAGCAACTGATCACCATGAGGCGCTTCTTCCACGTGCCCATCCTTCAGATCGTATTTACCTGTCTGCATGTTGCATTTGCACTCTGCACCCTATGCCCATCTGATCCGGCCTTCCAAGTCCCCAATCAGAGCGCGTTAACCAGGCCGCGGCATCCACCATAGGTTCAGGCTCCCAGCCAGCGCCGTGCCCGTCAACCCCGCGCGCCCGGCGACCCGGCCGCCGGCACCCCACGACCTCCAGCGTCCCCCAGGGCGCAGCTATGCGGCCTTGTCGCCGATCGATAGCCCACCGGGCCGCGCGCGCCCCGTGGGAGCGCGCCGGCTGCGCCATTTAAACTGCTGAATGGAGTGACACGGCGCGCACGTGCCGCCGGCATTCCGGGGCACCTCCGCTCGGCAGATGCGCCAGTGGCGCACCTGACCGCCGCGTGCCGACGCCGCCACAGATGGTCGGCACGGAGCGCTCCAGTTCGGCGCATTCCGGGGCAGGGGCGGGGCGGAAGGTTCACCTGCCAGGAATGCGACGCGCCGAGCTACAGCATGTGCGGGGCGCGGCGTCGACGGCCCCGACGATCGCTTTCAAGGCTGTCTCGCGCGCTAACTGTGTCAGACCGCCGGTAAAAAGGCGCGTAGGGCACCTGGCGCACGCACGCGGCATATGGCCGTTGCTGCTCGGTGCGGAGTTATGTAAATCGTCTCGCGCTGACAATAGGGCAGGGCGTAACGGACCGGGCCGACCTTCGCTCTGGGAGGAGAAAGGTGGAAAATGGGGTGATCGGATAAGGAGCGCGGAAGGCGTGCGCGCCATGTGGTATCCTTTCTCCGCGGATAGACTTTTATGGTGAGAAATTGGGTTAATTTATTCCCGATACACACGTACTTTCTTAATTACTAAGAGTTTTGACAAAGATATGGCGAGCAGACAAATTTACTGGATTTACAGTAATTTAACGAAGTCCAGACACGAAACGGGCACATCGTAAGCAATTAAGAGGAATATATCACAGTGACTCCTTTTCACAGCATTGTCCTGTCCCCGCTATCCCGCCGGGGAAGCTTTCTCTTCCGAAAGCGACCGGTAGCCGCTGGGCGCATGCTACACAAGCACTCCCGTGGAAACACCGGCACATCTTCAATACCATGACCTCGAGTGATGCGAGCCATTGTAATCTATTGCTCAGAGATGCACAGGACTGGAGGATGATGTCAGCTCCAGCGCGGAGCAGCCACGCCTATCATCTCCAGCGCGGAGCAGCAACGCCTGCCAGCTCCAGCGCGGAGCAACCACGCATGTCAGCTCCAGCGCGGAGCAGCTACGCCTGAAAGCTCCAGCACGGAGCAGCCACGCCTGTCAGCTCCAGCGCAGAACAAACACGCCTGCCAGCCACGATACCAGTGCGGTGAGGATGGTGGCGGGGAAGCTACGGGGGCAACGTACACGCCACGCGATGTAAACGCTGGGCGTAGCACACGTACATTACCCGCCATGAACGCGGTTCAACGTGGTTCAGCGTTTTAAAGGCGTTAAGTGCCGATGTCTTTTGTGGATGCTGCGCCTTGAGCTCGAGGCCCCATCTATTCTTCAACGTTCCACCCGAGTATGCATCATCCTGATGAGCACACCCAAGAAGACAAAACCGAATTGGGCTTACAATATCTATGTTGGTGAAGCTCCGGCCCATTTGGTCTCGGTAATCGGTGACGCACGTACCCGACTGAAGCACCCTCAGCACCAACGTGTGCCTGCTGTTTGTGGTGCTCATGCACCCTGGCTCAAACAGCACGCACGCCTCGCAAATCGGCGACCGTGCTATAGCATTGAGAAGTCATAGAGAGTGGAGAGCCATAGACACGCTCGACTTAAGTCGATTAATCGTGAAAGCGAAAAGGCCACCTGATTGATCAGAATTTGAATGCACACTGCCGTGACTGTACGGATTGGACATGTCCGATTATGTTCCAGGCCCAGGTTTCAAACGCTTCCTCAATGGCTCAGATTTACTATTCGAAACGCCGATTGAGTAGAATTCTGCCACCAGACTCCTGGTTTGCTTTGAAAAAACGACCGATTTGTCTTCAACAATCTTTATGCCGCATTCATAGTCCCGTTAAATCTAAATAACACCTAGAAGTAAGTTTTTCCTCCAAGCGTTCTATTGACAAAAACATTGCTGGGTTAATCATTACTTCTATGTCACAGGGCAATGACAAAAAATCGCATGACTGTGTCCGGCTAAGCAACAACACTGCACCACTTTTGATCCCAAAATTCATTTGCAGTGGATGACGTCACCGAACGCATCCGGGGAGCGCTCATGGCCGGGAGCGAGCAAAGTCTGCATAGTTTGATGAAGATAGTCATCCTATCATAAAATTCAAGATATTTTCTTGCTGACAGTCACTGGGACCCACGGACAATAATCGTCAGGAACAGAAACAAAGAGCTTATGAGGTGAGGGTACTTATGCCGAGGGTAACCGATCTCCACCAGTGCCATGAGGTGCTGTTTAAACGCCATCAAACAAACAATGGAACAGTTATGTTGTTTCAAGCCGTAGTCAAGAGGTCAAGTCGTGTCACGAACAATTAAGCAATAATTCGCACTGAAAGGCCAATGCACCGGAATACCGGCAATACTTCGCACCCGTGCAGGCACTGCCATTAGAAATATATCAAAATGGTCAATCATTCGACCTCCCAAATCCTAGCGTCTTACGCAAGGTAGTAACTTCACCTTCTGCCACGTTATTTATTTAAATGTCAGCTTTTGCTTCACCTTGCTTACCCATGACTATGACGACACCTCGGGCGTCGAGTTCTGTCCATATGACCATTTCTTGATGATAACGTCGTTAACCCACTATCTCCTGGAATATTGAAGGACGCTTGCCCATAATTCTGCGAGAAAAGAGACGAAGTCCAAGGTCTTTCTGCTTATATGAAACAGGGAGATATCATGCAGAGCGTTTTTGCAGCGTAACAGCCTTGAATTCATGATGAATTTCCCCAGAGTCTATCTAAAAAATCACAAATCACCAGTCACGACACTGAAGAGGAGTGCTTCTCTGCTGCTTCTCCATCCCTCGTGTGTTAGCAGTTGGGACGTGTCTGACAATTATATGCATTACATGATAATTTAATGACTTCTATAATAACAAGCTACCTTACAATTCATGTCATATGTTTTTCGGCCTTTCGTTGCGCTTGCAGCCTTTCATCGCAACAACAGGGGGTGAGCAGCCATGCCGTGCCATCGCCTCCCAAACGACATCCATCACCCCTCCAGCGCCACCCCAGCCGCGTCTCGCGCGGCGCGTCCCCCTCCCCTCCCCACTGCGTCTGCCACTCCGTCTTCCCGACGTCCCCCGCCGCGCCGCCCGCCGCGCGCGCGGGCTGCACGTGCAGCCGCCCCTCCCCACTACGGGTCTCCCCCACTACGCGCGCGGCGTCGCATGTGCGCGCCAGGTGCGGCGCCGCGCGCTCACTGTGGGAATGTCGGCGTTCCCACGCTGTGGCGAGCCGCCCTCGGCGCGCGCACCTGGCGCCCGGCCGTTAAAACCGGCCGGGCGGGCCGCCGGCCGGCATACGGTTCTGGGAGCTCGAGCGGGGCGGACGGCGGAGCGGAGTGCGATACATCGGCGAGACACGTGTGCTGCTCTCGAGACCAGTGATGGCGCCCAGCCAAGTGATTGCCGACGGAGCTCGCCCGGATGATTACAAAAAGGTGAGGATCGGTAGCAATTATTTGGATTCGATATTTGTAACTCGTTACGGGTTTAGTGAACCATGTGGTCTCCTGTTAGTTGTTGAAAGTTTTTTTTTCTTGTACGATCAGATTCCGACGAGCATTGCTTGGTTCATGGCACTCCTCATGTGCTTGCTGCTGACCCTTCACGCTTGTGAAAGCGTGAAAGGCACTGCATTGCACTCGGCGAGGTGGAGTGCAGCGCAACACTAGCGTTTTCGATTGACTCGCGTTCAAATTAGCGCTTTGTCGGCCGTGGGACAGATGCTCAACAGCATCGTCTGCTGAAGCATTTGCAGCATACCTCGCGATCTACATATACCCACGATCTTGACGTGCTCTCTCCGCCTCACCAGGTTCTGAAGCCGCTGCTGGAGCGTCGTCGGCGCGCGCGCATCAACCGCTGCCTGGACCAGATGCGGGACCTCATGGTGGAAGCGCTCTCCATGGAGGGCGACAGCGCCGCCAAGCTGGAGAAGGCCGACGTGCTGGAGCTGGCGGTGCGCCACCTGCAGCGGCTGCGTGGGCAGCGCGCCGCCGCCGCCGCCGCTGCCGCCACGCCGCCGCCCAACCCGCAGGCCGAGCTGGACCGGTACCGCGCCGGCTTCTCGGCGGCGGCCACGGTCGTCAGCCGCGCGCTAGCGTTCGCGCCGGGCGTGGATGTGCAGCTGGGCACGCGCGTCATGCAGCACCTCGGCAGCTCGTTCCGCGCGCTGGACCAGCGCCGACTGAGCGCGCCGCTGTCGGTGGAGGTGCCGCAGTTCCGCACGCGCGTGCCCACCACTGTCGGCGCCACGTGCCCGGTGAGCCCGGCCGACAGCTGCAGCTCGGGCTACTCGAGCGGCGCCGACAGCGGCCTGCTGACGGTGGCCACGCCGACCGCCGCCGCGCCGCGCGCCGACCAGTTCAGCCCGCTCAACCTGAAGCTTGGCGATGAGAACGTGTGGAGGCCGTGGTAGGCGGCGCGGGCGTCCCGTGCGCCGCTCGAGGGCTTTCAGGCGCCGCGCGCCGCAGAAGAGGAGCTGCCAGATGACAGCGCTGTGATACTTGTGTACCTGTGATAGTCGTGTTGATTGTGTTCGCATGTTCATTTGTTGTTCGGAGTTCATGTTCACCTGCAGCCTAGTGTGTATGAATACACCGTGCGAGATATTGATATTTTGCGCTAAAAGAACGGATGAGAGGAGGCATATGTCGGGGTGAGAATATCACAGGATGAACCTCCATGGATAATCCTAGAATGCACCCGAAGTGGAGAATTGATTCGGTAACGCGGACAGCCGCCCGAAATGATGGCAATCAGTTCTGCACTGTAAAGGAGGAGGATAGGAATGCCCTATCTACGCCTGTATTGTCAGTTCGTTTGTCAATCAGCTTTGGGAAGTTACGTCAGTGCAGTAGTACAAGCACAACATCATCAGTTACAAGTTACGTCCATGGAGCATGAGCACAGCACCTTCATCAGTTTCGATAAATAATGCCTATAAAGAAGCATGAGCGCAGCACCTTCATCAGTTCGATGAGTGACGTGCATGGAGTAGCATAAGCACAATGCCTTCGTGTGTGAGCGTAGCAACGTCCCAGGATGAGGAGAGAGCGAAAGCCCTTTTTGACCCACCACCTCCACGTCTGCGGATCCGCATTGTTGGGGATGCACAAGTGTCAGCATGCCGGCAGCGGCCGTAGAAGATGTACGGGACGAACAGATCGACGAGATGCGATTCGATTTTCAAATTGCAAAGGGGGTCAACGACGCCGTGGATTGTCTTCATGTGTCGCCCAACGCCCAACGCACTTTAAATCACGGGAAGGGCCGCGGTGTCGTGCTTATTTTTCCGCAAGCTCCTGGAAGGGCAAGGGAATGAGAAATCAAGGAATTTGGGGTTTTAAAGAACACCCAAATCTTCCTTGCATAATCGCGGGTCCATTTAAGCGGAATAGATAACTCCACGTGACCATGTTCTTCAAGATATCTTTTTTGTTCGTCGTACGTGAATAGATCTGCGTGCATACTTGGTATAACGGATTGCAATATGATTGCTGAAACAAAACTAGTATCCACTAATGCAGCACCCCAACAATGAAATTGGACAATGCTAACACCAAACGACATCCACCAGAAATACATGGAAATAGCGCTATGCCCATCAGACAGCGAACCACTGGTGTCCGCGTCTCTGAGGCACGCCGACTGCTCCGCAAATCCTTGCGACGAGCCCTCCTCAAGGCTGCAAAGAGTTATCGACTGAACAAAATCACGTGAACAAAACGCTTACAACGTTCATATGATACCTGGACAATGTAGAGATTGTTGACCTCGTTAGCTGCTGAAAATACTACCGAGATAAAACAACGCTCTACACTGAGCTTACAATATCAAGGACGACGCTCTGTTTTGATGCACTCTTACATTCCTCGTACCCACCAAATAACGAAATCTGACCATAGTATATAGAACGCTCCCCGCCGCAGGACGCCATTAGCGGTTTCATCACACCACTCAGTAAGGCACCAGTGTCACCCCCTCTGGGACATGTATGTCAGACTGCGAGTCAGTCGAATACACCCCCCCCTCCATAACGCTAAACAAGAATTATCAGCCAAAAGTCGCCTGAAAGCCCGCTAACAAGGTTAGCATGACATGGGGATCGGACATAATCTTCGAGCCAGCCTCGGAAATGTTCGTCAGCCACCGTCGCAGCAGCTTAAGATGCACGTGGCCGTGTTATGCAGAGGTCGCACCGCAGCGTGATCAGTGCGGTCGTGCGGTCGCTAGCTGCGAGCCCCACTCGACCTCCCTGGGTGCAGGCACGGTGCCAACGCGGCAGAGGGGATCCTGCAGGCCCTCACCCCTGGCCTCGATCTCTGCGCTGCTTAATTTGCCTCTCAAGAACAGCATGCAGAGCGGGTCTGACCGCACCGGCGCCCTAACTCCTTGACGTCGGCTCGGCACATCAAAGGAATATGACAAGTGCCAGCGGCGCTCACTGAAGTGTCGCATCAGCAATCCCCGATGGAAACCGCGCGGCGGAGTCAGTGGATGCGGCTCGTTTGAGTTTTGTTTCGTTGCGTTTGTGTAGAGCTATAATGCATGCAATGCTTCGATACAATGTATGGTGCAGGGGCCTGGGATCGCATTCAGTTCAAGGTCATATTCGAGCCCATCCAACTAGCGGCTGAGCCTCTGTACTTGAGCGAGAGCCCTCCCACCCTGCGGGTGCATTTATTGAACGATTCTAGTAAATGAAAGCAATAAATAAATAAACATGAGGGAATGTAAATGGACTATGGTGCACACAGCCTGTTGCCAAAGTTCTACTTTCTTACGTTCCTACACAACACTCCGCATGGACATATTAAAAGTAACAAACATGAGCAATGTGAACCTGTCTTTACGCTTTTCTAAAGCAACGAGATGCAATTGTATGCATCCTGAGAGCCAAGGTAGACGTACTAGGCTGACCCTCCAAGTGATTTCGCAAAATTACATTGCTCCGACGATGTTTGTTAAGTCCCTTCCTCTTACAAGTACAACACGCCTCCTGAGGTCCAATCGTTAATCACTGAACGCACTACTTCAATTCAATGCAAGTACAACCCAATTTGCACGGCTAACGTTGCGTATTGCCGTCCACGTCTTCCACTGCGGCGCTGGTGACTGGCCCGCGCGCCTTGTGACCCAGCGGAGCAGCACAGCTCACGCCCGTCAGCGCGCTGGCCAGGGCTGGGTGCCACGTCACCGCGCCATCTCCTGAACCAGCAGCCCGGTGTCTGATGGCCCAGCGGCCACGTGTCTGGGGCCGGCCGGCGACGCCTCCGCGCTGGCGTGGCGCGCGCGGACTGGGAGGCCACGCGGCACACGTTCGGGATTTAAGGTATACCCGAGCCCCATTATGACTTTAGAGTTCTCATGTTGAAATATCGACACTCAATATACCAGGAGCTACTGGCGAAACGATGCCATGGAGCAAACGTTAGTTATATTCGTTCAATGTTTCAGGCTGCGCTTGCTTAAAGCAGCTCAGCTGTGCTTACACGGCTTGAAACGTCAAGTTCTGTCAGTGTAAACAATGTTTGCCATATGGCGTCGTTTTACCAGTACCTCCTGGCGTAATGAAGGTGGATAACTCAACGCGGTAAGTCGGAACTCATACTGCGGAAGGGACAGACGGGGGCCTATCTGGCCTACATCAAGCCCGAGCCCCCCCATACCGGACGGCTTCCTTTTTGTCAAGAGGCGCTAGTTATGTATTTTGCCGTAAGTTGCAATTAATCACTGATCCCGTTAGCAAAGCCAGCCCAGTTACGCGGGCGCCAAGTGGCGTCACCAAGCGGGTCATGATAAGACATCTAGTGCCAGCGGAGCAAGGTTGACAGCTTTGTCAGGATTCTTCGTCAGGTCGGTTGCCCTCCTAATATTGTGTCGTGTTACTTGGCTGTGGATGGGTGTCTGCACCACAGCACATGCTTCTTCATTCATGCGGCCCTAAACAATCTGTTAGGATTGTTGGTGATTAAGGGTTATGCGCTAGCAATAGAGCACGGGGACTCAGTGACATATGTCTCAGTCACCTCACAGATGCACCGACCGCTGTCAGTCAACATCCACTTAATGTTGGCATAGTCCATTACATCTATGCTTGGTTCGTAACACGCCCTATCCACAGACCACTTACACGGCGACCACAGAAATAAGGGCGTATATTTGTTGGGTGCACAAACTAGCTGCCCCTATCAGCGGAAGAGCATGATTTCTTGCGTACTTAGTAGCGCATTACCATCCCTCCATCTACGGCATACATATATCAAGAAAGCAAACTCCCGTAACCACAGAGCGCTATCACTGGCAGCGAGGCAGACCCACTGGAGCCTCATGTCTCGCTCCCAAAGGCAGCGCATGGCAACTCTCAACTCATGGCAACTCTGCTGTACGAACGCCTCCCCAAATCCGAGCCACTATCCTGGCCGGGTACGGACAACGGACCAACTGAGTTTTGGCCAGAAGAAAACGCAGGAACAGTGAGCCTCATTTGGGTGGTTCTGTACACAGCCACACTTCACTGACGACCTTCGGTGGGGTTTCCGTGACCTTTCGGTGACCTACTGCTCTCACAGACAGTTGGATGGATGAATACCACCTGTCAGCGAACATGTCTGTTACCGAAAACGTCGGCATGTGACGAAATGTTTTCCAGTTTAAAATGTAAAAAACAGTAGCACATAAAAAACCGCGGACTCATCGGGAGGTAAAACAGCCCGCATAGTACAAAAATAAGCACCATATCAAGAACACATAGCCCTTTAAGGTTACAAACATATTGAGTATCCCATGAAGCTCTGTAAGCAAAGCAACTAAGCAGACATATTGCAATGACCCCGATATAAATGCATGTTGTACAGCTCGCAGCAGAACAGCACTGATAGGATTCAACCCATTAAAATCTACACTTCAGCCTGTTGCAGAACCATAACCCGCTACAAAACCTGTCACAGAACCTACTACACAACCAGCGCATACACCACAGTGACGCTTGCTGGAGCCCTCAGCCTTGCTCATGAAGACGACACGCCGCGACTCCCAGTGCGAACACAGCCACCATACCATTGCACTATCACGCGGCTCAAAATACGTGAGAAGTCAGCACCCAACATGCCGCCGGCATTGACCGTCAGCCACCAGTGCACGAACAGGCATTACATCCTGGAAGTCGCAACAGGAAGTCTTCAGGTAACTCAGCTTGTACGTGAGCCACCACTCCCAACCAACTCAGCAAGGCATCGCAGCAGTCGACTCCGACTTCGATCCTTCCGGCATCGCATCAGGAACCTTCTTGATGCGAGGCAGGGCGGACCAGTGCTGCCTCTGGCGGGCGATGGCGCGGCGCAGGTTGGCCACGGCGCCGGGAGATGGCGCGCCCGGCGGCGGCAGCGGCCGCGGCGGACGGCCGAGCAGCGCCGGCAGGCAGCTGTCTGCGCCGATCGCCACCAGGCGGCCGCCGGCCAGCGCCGTCAGCTGGTGCGTCACGTGGGCGCACAGCTCGGGCGGCACACGCGGCGCTACCAGCAGCGCCAGCTGCGGCGCCAGCTGACGGCCCAGCGGCAGCACCAGCTGCCAGAGCAGCGCCAACACTTCGCCGGCGCCCCAGGCCGCGTCCGGCGACGGCGTCTCCAGCATCAGCGGCGTGCGGATCCGACCGGCGCCCGCCCACGACATCTGGTGACACGGAGTCTCGTGACGGCCGACTTCTCTAACATTCCACATGAAACAGTAAATATCCCTAACCGCTCTTCGGCTCCAACGGTATGTGGCGAAATGATCCAATAAGCCAACCATTAAGACTCCAGTGTTAGTATCTACGCCACAAGCATTACTAAGCAGCCGCCACAATTCCCGTGACAAATAAAGAAATAATTCATGAGGCTACAGTTAAAAGGTGAACAGCATCTGCCATTTTATTTGGGCTCCTAACGGCGTGCCCTCACCCATAAGCAGTGCACCTTACCGCTTAAACCATCAGCCATCCGGACCCTCGCAATCGCTTGTGCTATCAATTCAAGACTATACCATGACAGCAAACCATCAGCCATCCAGACCCTCGCAATCGCTTGTGCTATCAAATCAAGACTGTACCACGACAGCAGCATCCACCAACCATCCACCATGTCTCACCTTCACACCCAGACACGAGCGCCATCTCGCGTCGCGCAAGCCGGTCGGGTCTTACCACGGGCTCGGTGGTGGGTGTGGGCGGCGCCGGTCGGGGTTTTACCACGGGCTCGGTGGTGGGTGTGGGCGTCGCCAGCATGCCGCGCCAGTCGGGGTCTTACCACGGGCTCGGTGGTGGGTGTGGGCGGCGCCGGTCGGGGTCTTACCACGGGCTCGGTGGTGGGTGTGGGCGGCGCCAGCATGCCGCGCCAGTCGGGGTCTTACCACGGGCTTGGTGGTGGGTGTGGGCGGCGCCGGTCGGGGTCTTACTACGGGCTCGGTGGTGGGTGTGGGCGGCGCCAGCATGCCGCGCCAGTCGGGGTCTTACCACGGGCTCGGTGGTGGGTGTGGGCGGCGCCGGTCGGGGTCTTACCACGGGCTCGGTGGTGGGTGTGGGCGGCGCCGGCCGGGGCCTTACCGCAGGCTCGGTGGTGGGTGTGGGCGGCGCCAGCATGCCGCGCCAGTCGGGGTCTTACCACGGGCTCGGTGGTGGGTGTGGGCGGCGCCGGCCGGGGTCTTACCATGGGCCCCGTGGTGGGTGTGCGCGGCGCCGGTCGGGGTCTTACCACGGGCTCGGTGGTGGGTGTGGGCGGCGCCGGCCGGGGCCTTACCGCAGGCTCGGTGGTGGGTGTGGGCGGCGCCAGCGTCCCGCGCCGGTCATGCAGGTTCGTGACCTCGCAGCCCTGGCAGGAGATCGACACGCAGACAGCCTGAGCCCCGCGCGGGCAGGCGGCGCTCGCCGTCATAGGCCAGTCTGCGGACGGAGGCAGCGACGGGTCACCGGCCGGGGCCAGCTCGCAGGCGGGACCAGCGTCAGACGGACGGCAGGCGTCAGTTGGGAGGCAGGGTCACCGGCCGGGGCCAGCTCGTAGGCGGGACCAGCGTCAGACGGACGGCAGGCGTCAGTTGGGAGGCAGGGTCGCCGGCCGGGGCCAGCTCGTAGGCAGGACCAGCGTCAGACGGACGGCAGGCGTCAGTTGGGAGGCAGGGTCACCGGCCGGGGCCAGCTCGCAGGCGGGACCAGCGTCAGACGGACGGCAGGCGGCAGTTTGGAAGCAGCGTAACTGCCAGGCAATCGTCTACGATCAATTGGGGTTTTAGACCAGTTGGGGTTAATGATCACCTAGGGTCAGTTGGGGTGTCGGTCGGCTACCCGCAGCGGCCAGTTACCGAGATGGGGGCACATTCAACTATCCAGTGTATTACTACCTGAGGTCAGGTGGACAGTGGGGTCCGTGCCAGACGATCAGTTCCAACCAGTCCGATTTCTGAGTCGGTGACCATCTAGGGTCAGCCAATTGGAAGGCAGCGAGTGTGAGATAACCATATAGGATCATGTGGAAGGCAGGCATGGTGCCAGACTGCGTTCTGAATATAAAACATACCAATAACAGGCATTGAAACATGCATTAGAAACATACATGCAGCTGCAATGTAACACCCACAGAGCCCTTCTGTTCCCTTGTTTCACATCAGAGGCTATCACCTTCATCTGCCGTCTCCTCTACCATTACAAACAAATGGAAATAACTAGGTGGCTATCGGCTGCAGCTCATCTATACGCGCCAAATTTTGTGTTGTTGACTATTTGCAACTCATCACGCCTACTTAGCACGATGCCAAGCACCGAGAGACATCCATCCCATTGCCCATCTCATCAAAGACGCACACACCACGCGGGACACCCCCACACGTCTGGGGTCGTACCGCAAAGGGCCATGTCTCGCCAGTCCACCACCAGGAGGCGCTGGCAGCGGCGCAGGGCGTGACTGACGGCGGCCGTCGCGTTCGGGTCGGCGCTGGGGCAAAAGCCGGCGGCGGCGCGGCCGTCCAGCACCGCGTCAATCACCTGCCGTAGGAGGGGAACGGTGCAAGCATGGTTGACATGGTGAGGAGAGGGGTGCGGCTGGGGCGTGGGCATACGACGGCCGCACGCTGCCGGCGCGCTGAGCCACTGAACGTCCATCGAGCCTGGAAACACTGCTCACTTACAAGCGCAAGCATGGATTAAAGACCGCAGGGACAACGTTCACACCGAATACATCAGAGGAAAGCGGCCCGGACATAGCAGCCTCACTGCGGATCAGCCCGTCAGTGGCGGCGATTCTCAGCGCTTCGACCAGTCGGCGTGGTGCCGGCGGCGGCGGCGGCGCACGCGGCTGACCTGCGTCACTGCCTCGTCCCCTTCGCAGGTGACCTCCAGGCAGTCGTCCGACGCCGTCGAGGTCGGCTCCGTGGCGCTGCGAAGCAGTCAGGACACGCACGCTCAGTCAGCTGAACTAGTCCGACACGAAGCACGCGATGTGGCACGCGTTATGTACAGCGTGTCATGCTGCCAACGTACCACAAGCAAGAACGCGGAAACAGTGTCTCTGCACAAAACTTCAAGCGATTCAAAGCGATGACTATTTTTGGGAATGAAATGCGCCCAGCAGCCTGCCTCTTACACAGAATGGAAGGAGCAACTTCTAAATCGGCGCCAACAGCCTCGTTGAAACACCGTTTTGCATCCGATGGGATCTGACCTAGGACAGCGAAATCGTCCGCAGTGGGTGATGGGCGTGGAAAGGGAAGCCCGTGCGTACCAGTCTGTCGGCGAGTGCCGCTTCGTGGGCAACACCACACGGTAAGGAGCCACGCTGAGATCAGTGACTGCGAGAGAACGACGGTATGTAAGTTATGAGACGTACGGGACGCTGCAGCTAGGATCACCTGGCGCCATTTTCCTTCCATTGCCTTGAACGGAAAGCGTATCAGTGACGTAACAGGACCGTATCGCCAAACCCGGAGTGCATTTGTCATCGCTTCACGACTATCGCGTAGTGCCGCCCCACAAACTGTCTCACAGGGTTTCCTTATGCTCAAATGGCCCGTTGTCTGCTTTTTCGTAACGTGTTTTCCGTGACGTACTTTTTTGTCCAATGGTCTGCATAACACGGCATGTATTCGTTGACGAAAAATTGGCGAATAAAAGAACGTCGGTGATTTTTTATACCATGGGCTCAAGGTCACGGTTCACAGTGGACCTGGTTTCGATCGTGGGCAAAGACATGCAATAAACTGTCAAATCACAAATGGGGCCTGTGGTAAAGATGAAGATATCACGTAAGCTAAGTGCAATAACACATATTTTCGTGAAAACGTCTGAATGCTTGCTTGGAAAGAGTGTAATATAACCAAACAGTTTATCAAAAGGAGGTAATACAACTACAATTTCAACTGTAAACCGTACAGCACGGTTCCCATATCACCTCTAACCGCTTCGCCCCCCTACCCCTCTCCACTTTCAGCCTCCCCCCCTCCCGCCTCTCCCCGCCCCGATCGCCGGCTGCCAGCCGAATGTCCAGTGCGCCTACCTCGCCTCAGTTCCGCCAGCTCCCGCTCCAGCCGGTCCTTCAGCGCCGGACTCTGAACGGGACATATGCCGCAGGTGGGGAACAGCTGACCGGGCTGGGCCGGCTGGCCGCGATACACCACCTCTGGCAGGTGAAGCTCACTCAGCACCTCCAGTCCGCCGGCGCCGGCGGCGTACGAGTCGTACAGCGCGAGGAAGTTCCACCGGCGGCGCTGCACCGACACCACGTCCAGCACGGTCTCCTCCAGGCTGAGCAGGCGGCGAAGGGTGAGAAGCGGCGGTCCGTGGGGATGCACCGCATTCGAAGAAAAGTGCGAGATCACTCGTGGTCATTCATCATCACAAGGTTTCACAAACACCTTAGACCACAAGGGTAAATTGCTTTCTATCCGCGCGCACACGATAAACCGTCATTTCACTTCACTATAATGTTGTCAAATGGGACCTTTCACAATGATATTGACTTAGCGTTTCTTCGACCTTGTAAATTACGTCAACGTGAGTGCCGCCGTCTTCTCCAGTCACAAACATCACATGCCGGACACTCGGCAGCCCCGCACCGTCAGCCGCGTGCCAGCACCATCCCCCTGCGCATGTGCCACGTCACACGCGGTGACGTCCGGCACATGGGCCAGGGCAGCGTCCACACTCTACCGCGAATGTTTACGCCTGACACCACATCCTGTCACATATCTGTCACCAGAGACAAAGAGCAGTGTGGTCCTCTCAGTCGTGTCCAGACGCGGGCCACCATGACAGGACGGTACGACGCCCGAGTCACGCGGCGACACAGCCCAGACCCGCCCTGCAGTACGGCCGTCTCCAGTCGTGACCCAGCCAGAGGACCGCCCTCCCCGCGATCCGGTCACGTGACCGTCCACCTGCCCCCATGACTCGGCCACAGGACCGCCCCCCGTGACCCGGCCACAGGATCGTCCCCTCCCCGTGACCCGGTCACAGGACCACCCGTGAACCGGCCGCATGACCAACGTCCTCCCTGAACCGGCCGCATGACCAACGTCCTCCCGTGATCCGGCCACATGACCAACGTCCTCCCGTGACCCGGCCACATGACCAACGTCCTCCTGTGATCCGGCCACATGACCAACGTCCTCCCGTGATCCGGCCACATGACCAACGTCCTCCCGTGACCCGGCCACATGACCAACGTCCTCCCGTGATCCGGCCACATGCCCAACGTCCTCCCGTGATCCGGCCACATGACCAACGTCCCCCTGTGATCCGGCCACATGACTAGCCCTCCCCCATGACCCGGTCACAGGACCGCCCCCTCCCCCGTGACCCAGCCGGCCGCTGACCTGCGGCAGGGCGGCGGCAGCGGCGGCAGCGGCGGTGGCCGATCACCGAGCAGCTGGCGCAGCGTCAGCGCCGCCGCCTCGGCCAGCGACGACAGGCAGTAGCCGCCCTCCAGCACCACGGCCAGCCGGCCCGACGCCAGCGCCATCAGCGGCAGCGTCAGGTGCGCGAAACACGCCGGGCTCACGCGCATCTCACCCTGGGGGTCGGAGACGGCGGAGCGGGGTCAGGGGACGGCCGGCGCTGCGGCCAGAGGGAGGCAACGTACCGAGTGAGCGATGACGCATCACAACGCCGCGGAAGATAACTCGCCTGGTAGAGTAAGGTTCGGCTGTTTGCACCTAATAAATAAATAAAAATCTGACACATCTGTTTGAGTAAGCAGACCAGAGGGCAAAACGCATGCTAAGTGTTTCGTGATTCACGGCGAAAAGTAATTCCAGGCCCGTCTTAACACGTCAATGCCTAAGCCATTAGCCATCAGGTTCCATGTCCAACAAATGGACAAGTTATCCGAAGCAGATATTGCTGTGAAGGGTAGAGTCGACAATATGACAGTTGTCTATCCCGGTAGGTCAGAAGGCACCTTCCGATTCCCCCGCCCGTGGCGGGGTTGGTTCGAGTTGCTTTAGGCGCTCGTTATTTGCCCCTCACTGGGATGACCTGCAGCCGGTGGCAGCAGCCGCGCTCAAGGTCAGCTGACTCCTCAGCGGCGGCGCTGATCTCAGAAATCCATCCAACCAAAATGTTGTTCTGGCTAAACGTTTAAAGGAAACAACTCGCATCAGGTTCCGTAATTATTTTTTTCTGTTTAATCTTCCCACCACATTCGATCACCTTCAGATGAAAGATTTATGAGATCACCAAGTACGGACTAGCATTGCATTCTAGTAAACATGTGTGAATTCCATGATCGTTCCAGCTCTGGAACTGAGGTCTGCATACTTAGCTACAATCTGTACACCAGCCTTGTGTTTAAGGCGAGTTCAATTATTGGTCCTGACCCCATAACAATCACACAAACATGTTCCCCATTAGGGATCAAACCCATACTACTCAAATGACGCACACATGGCATCCTACATGTCAGGGAAATGTCAATTGAGGAAAGCTAAGCAACCAATAAAATGTGGCCACTGTCAACCACACACACACACGCACGCGCACGCACACACGCACGCACGCACACATACATACACACACACACACACACACACACACACATATATATATATATATATATATATATATATATATATATATATATATGTATATGTATGTATGTATATATAAGCAAAGTAATTATATATCACTGTAGTGGTTTTGACTGACCTGCGGACATCCCAGTGCCGCGTCGAATCCCGCTGCCACCAGCACAATGTCGGGGGCAAACTGTAAAAACAAACAATAAACCTATGACGAAACACCCAAAGGACGCGGCTTGCCAGCCTAGACGCTTAACCATCCCACTCCTTGGCGAAAATGGTAAAACGCCGTAAAACTCCTTGGTAAAACGCCTCTCATCCTTTCTTAGCCCCGCGCTTACCTCATTCTTTCGTGACACATGACCCGAGTTTTCGCCTGACGCCGGCCGAGTGCCGACTCTGATTGGCCAGCCACTTCATACGCAGCGGGAATTTCGGCCTGACGCCGGCCGAGTGCTGACTCTGATTGGCCGGCCACCTCATCCGCGGCGGGTATTTCAGCCTAACGCCGGCCTAGTGCCGACTATGATTGGCCAGTCACTTCACACGCGGCGGGTATTTCAGCCTAACACCGGCCGAGTGCTGACTGATTGGCCAGTCACCTCATACGCGGCGGGTATTTCAACCTAACGCCGGCCGAGTGCCGACTGTGATTGGCCGGTCACCTCATATGCGGCGGGCATGAGCAGGCGGTACCAGACGGCCAGAAGGTCGGAGTCCGTCATGCCCGTGGCGTTGAGTGGCACGTTCCAGTTGAAGCCGGCGCCGGCGCCGCCGCCCACGTGGTCAAACTCGCTCTCCCGCAGCTCCGGCCAGAACGTGCCGTGCTCGTACCGGTGCACGGAGATGTACATCACCCTGGCGGCAGCGCGCGACGGTGCAGTACTACGCCACGGGCGGGGACGAGTGAACCGCCCTGGCGCAGTAACGGATGCGGTTTCTCCTCAAGGAAAAAGAAAGGCAACGGCTTAGTCCGTTGTCTTATTCCAACGGACAATCACGTAAACAACTTGCCGCCCGCACTACCTCTCCCCATCCCTCCTACACCGTGCCGGCACGCCGCGCCCACCGGTCATCGCGGTAGAAGGCCCGCTGCAGGCCCTGGCCGTGGTGCACGTCCCAGTCCACCACCAGCACGCGCAGTCGGCGCTGGGCGGCGCGCTGGGCCGCCAGCGCCACGTTGTTGAAGAAGCAGTAGCCGTTGAACTCGCTGTGGGAGGCGTGGTGGCCCGGCGGCCTGCGGCAGACATCGACTCTGTGTGAGGCGCCGACGCGCGGCTCTTGGGGGGACAGCTGGGGGCGAGGTGCACGGCAGCTGCCCGTGAAGCGACAGGAAGGCGCAGCGAAACTGCCCCGGGGCATAACGGAAGTAAGGAAGCAGCTTTCAAAGGTGTGGGGATCTTCTTGCGTGGCAAACCCCGCTATCGGTCATGCAGTTTGACGGGCAAAATAGCCCAGCGTGCTAGAGCACGCGACACTTACGCCTGAAATCTACATCGAAAACGTGAAACAAGAAACAACAAAACGGGGAAGTTACATCATGGATGATCATGGGCATCATGGATTACATCGGCACAGAGCGTCAGCAGTCATTTACCTGACCAGCGCCATTCCGTTTCTGACGGTGCCATCTATGACGGCATCGACAAGGCTGATAGCTGACCCTGCCGCCAGCAAGGCAGCACTGTATGTAGACTGAGCATACAAGAAGGTTAGCGGCATGGGTGCGATCAGTGGGTGGGTTGGGCTAGGGGAATGTGCCCCAACTCACCGATAAATTGCCAACATGGTCATTTAGCCCCCAAAGGTTCCAGCTTAGTATTGCGCGCTTCGTCACAAAAATAAATTTTCAAGTCAGGATAATCCCCCAGATTCCGACTCGACTCACCTACCATCCCTGACACAACACAACGTCCCTGACGGGCGGCCACATACAACTGGCGAAAACGCATGCACGTGCGAGAACGAGTGGCACCGAGGCAATGCTAAACACAGTTCAACAGTCATGCACAGCCATCTGCTCCAGGAGCCCGAATGTATCCCTCCAGTTTGGGGTCAAGCTGGGTTATAGGATGCCCTCGTTCGGCCCACTTTGTGCTTATGGGCTTCGCTAAAATTATATTTCACGCCATGGAATCTAAGGTAATACATGCTGTCAAAGGCACTGATCGGCCCTTAAAAATCATCTGCAGTCACAAAATACATGATGAGTTGAACTGCTGTCTGCTTAAACGACAAAAACAATACCTACACCACCAACATTGAGCAGTCATAGCAGAAAACACTCAATGGAAACTCGGAGCCCTCCCACTGCTTACTGGATGAAAGTACACTGCATCGTATTTGGAAGAGAGGTCCTGCAGGGCTTCAGCATCCTCGGAGTTGCTCGTTCCGGCCGCCGTCGACACGTGGCCCTGGGAGTGGTACATGAGCAGCTCGGCCTCCGTGGCTGGTCGGCAGGGCAGGAGCTGGCATCGCTCCAACAGCCCCAACTCACGGCACCTGACGCAAGGCAAGGCGTGCTTACAGTCGGTGGCGGGGTTAGAAGTCGGGCGCTATGGTGCAAAACGTGACTTGTATCATGACGTACATTGGTTTCGGCAAACCCCCAGCTGAACTCCCTCAACAGCGCCAGAGTCAAGGGGGTGCCCGTGGTCATACCTCGGTCATTCTCATGGACAGGTAGGTCAAGTTCCACGAGCAAGACACAGCAGTTGTCTCACAAGCAACAACTAGCGGTTTGAGGGCTTCCTTCCACCACAGACGCCGGGGGGGGGGGGGAGGGAGACACGAGCACAGCGCTGCAACCGCTGCACAGCGGAGTGCCGCCGCCGGCCGAGCAGTCCCTTGGTGAACCGACTGCGACATGGCTAGAGAGCGCCAGTGAAGGGTCCACATGCCCAAAGTCCAAATAGCCAACTAGGGACACTCATTCACCACCTGGGTCGTGAATGATCGGATCACTCGTTCTCCTGGTGGTGGCTGCAATCACCGTGAATTATCCGCTAGTTCAAGGCTAGGATAACCTCTTTTTGGACTTCTTTGGGGTTTCTACATCTAAAACTCACAATGGGGCAAATAGGTATCCAAATGGGACTTCAAGAGACCAAACTCGGTGCTCTCCCAAATCAGTGGCCAAACCGGCTATCAGTTCTGTCCATCCCATTAGCTCAGTTGGTTGGAGCACCTGTCTTCCAATTTGACTACCACTGGTGAGTTGGGTTTGATTTGCTTTCAGTGGTTGCCATTTCCCCCCTAGTGGCTTGGCCCGCTGTCAGCGGCAGCAACCATGCTAAAGGTCAGGTAACATCAGAAGGTGAGGCAGGCCATGGCGAACATGGCAGTGTGTCCAGCTCTAGCCCTGGAATGCTACCTTTGATCAGAAATCTATTATAATGAGATCAAGCTCTGTGCCTAGATATCCTTCCAATCAAGAGGTTGAAAGCAGATAATGTGGTAAAAATTAGAGGCCACTTTTACTGATAATTAGATGGATGCCCAAAACATGCATAGCAATGGCTAATTGAATCTAATGTAACCTTCAAGTAATTACACAGTGGCACACAAATATAAAGATGGCGTATTCCTGGGAATAATTTCTGGCCACCTGTTAAGAATAGCCTCCAGTCGCTCTGGTCGCTCCTCAAAATCTGGATCCCAGAGGCAATGATGTTGTAGCATCACATCTTCATCATAAACCACCCCAGTGGATGCTGAAGTTTGAAGCATGCAGGCATCCATGATCAACTTGCTTATTGATGAAATGTGGAGAGGCTTGTGTTGTCATATATTGAGGCTTGTGCTGCTGGAACACCAACACAGACAATGGGTTAGTTTCGGTTGCCAAATTTAAGAAAATGTCAGACAAATGCAGTGATAGTTCAAAACCTAGCAGGCAGGATAACTTTGGCACCTGAAATACATCCATGAAATATCAACCTGCAATACGCATGAAAAAACATGCCGATTACAAACAACCACCCTGCTGGTCAATGGTGACTGCTGTTTCTGAGGTTCTCTCATCTCAGTATGCCAGCTCTCTCTCCTGTGACCATTTTGCAATGCAAAACAAATGCAAGGGGGAAGCATATCTGATGTTTATATGAAGCTTGGAAGTCATAATAATCATCTACACTCTCACCTTTTTACTTACATAACCTCAAATGTATCATACTTAAGAAGAGATTCCCAAATCTGAATATGTATTGTGCATTGGGCTACATCTACTGCAACCATTACAGGTGTGGGAAGTGCGAGTCCTATATTGGGAACAGTCCTCACACAGGATACCAGGTCTATCTAGCAAGGTGAAAGCTGTCAAAGCCATGCCATTTACTCTGAGCATGTCAGAATTATGCGAGCACATTGGTACCTGTGCATTATGTTCTCACGCACGCGATCCAGTAAAATATCGATGCACCGGGAGGACACCTCCGCTTCGAATCTCACAAACGTTAAAAGTACGGGGTACACCGTAGTAAGACACTCCAATTACCCATCAAAGGCACCACCTAAAGCTACAAGTGAAACTTACCTGCAGGGTCGCAGCCGCCGTGATGCCGGCGCGGTGCCATTCATGAGCAATTAATTGTGCTGAGTGGAAAAGTATGGCCAGTATGGGGGTCGAACCCATGACATTCGCGTTATTAGCACGACGCTCTAACCAACTGAGCTAACCGGCCGGCGGCCGCTGGCGTGCGTTGTATAAAAACAGCAGTAATCGTACCACCTCGCCGCGAGTGCTACTATACAATTTAGTCAATCGATGAGATCCTCAGAAAAATCATGGTTTTTTCTTTTTTCTAAAATTACTCTGTTCAAGATGCAAGTGTTTTGAAACAACTACTTTCCAAAAGCCGGCGTCTACAATGCAGATAGGCCAGAAGGTAAAATATCCTTGTTAAGTAAATTTTGGAAATTTGGTAGCGAACATATGTGACGAAATATGCGTCACTGCGCTACAACTTGGACGAAGCAGTGTTATGGACCTTCTGGGAGGCATTATTACCTCGCGTTGTATCGGTCTCGGGGCGGTCGTACAGAGGGTTTCGGCGTGGGGCGGTGAACTTCAGGCGGTCGTGAAGGGTCATTAGAGAGGCCGTAAATCAACCCAGTAAGCTGTTTTACGTTTACTTATTGCATTCTGTGACTATCTCATCTCACCTTTCATCAGTCTGGTCAATGGAAGAAGGTAACTAGTTTGGCATAGTTTGAACGTTTGATTTGCTTGCCTATGTTAGGGCGTATTTAACCATCATTTGCCATGATTGGAAGTTAGTTGCATTGACACTTTTTTCAGAAACAGTAATTTTGCTGTTTCTCTCTGGAGCTTGATTCTGTAATTTTAAGAGGGTTCTGTGCTTCTAAGCATGGCTGCTTATTCTGCAAATAAGTTCTTAAAACATTTCCACATCAAATCATGCAATGAACAATGCTGTTGTATTATGAAAATACAAAATGAAGCAGTGTTTATCAGCTGCAGCCTTACATGACAGTTCATGTGGTTTGGATAGTTAAGAAAAGCTAAGAAAGTGATAATTGAATTCAAGCATGTGTACTTCTATCATTCTATTTGGTTGATTGCCCATCATCCAAAAGACGGCACAATTAAATTAAAACATGCTGGTTTGCTTGGCTGTTCACTTGTTTTCATGTATTTTTTTGCCTTGTTGTCCCATTTATTTTTGCCAGTAGAACATTGGGGCCCCCTCGGGTGCTGTGCTATGTGGTGTTATCCACCTCTCACCTGGGCAGGCTGGGAAGGCACTGTTGGGAATCAAACTCTGCATCTCTGATTCACTAGATGAGCACCTTGACCACTCATCTATTTTGTCACCAGTATTGACCTATCCCTTTCTGTGATCAATCTCCCATTGATTGTCATGCATAGGTTTCAAATAAATAATAATGCATGCAGAACATGACATGACAGATATCACTAGTCATACCACTTGCATCTTGGCTGCAATCAGAATGTTAGCATGTGAACAGGTGAGTGACTGGTTTTGCTTGTCTGGCTTCCATAATATTTTATGTAGTACAAATCCAAGCCTGTTGAATTGATATATTTCCAGGATCAGAGATCATGCTAAACAGTGTTTATTGTGTGAGTTCCACATCTCCAATCTGAGTGTGCAATTCCTGGCCAATAGCAGAATCTTGTTCATAAAGTTTAACATGCCATTTTGCTTGACCATCTCTATTATACCCTCTGAAGTCACCTGACATTGCCATGCTTGCCAAGAGCAAATAGCATGCCTAAAGTGACTTGATGCCACCCTGCCTTTTGCCAGGGATGCATGGATCAGAAAGCAGGTGCTCTTAAAGAACTGAGCTATCAGCAGGGATCCCTCAGAGCCCTCACAGTCAGTAGATAAAAAACACCATTGGTATTTGGGTGCCTCTGTGAAAGCTGGACAATCTCACCATTACCCACCAGCTGATATGAGTTGTATTTGTGCATGATATTACATGACGGGCAGTTTTGATGTATCTAATGCTTTACACCACAGTTTGCTTTAGCAATGGCCTCTGGATATTGTCCCTACCCTGCCCTTGTCAGCCCCTGGATACTGTCTGTATGGTAATGCTCATGAGGTTCATGAGGTTATCAGAGACAAGCAGTGTCAATATCCTATGGTTCTGCCATATTTGCTGCAGTGGGTGACATGCCATGTTTTGAACAAAATGGTGGTGGTTTGAGATAGAGAAGTGTCTTGAAAACAGAAATTGTTGCAGCTGAATGAGGGCTGTTTTGTGCAATGCAGTATACAATATTTCATCCTATTTCGGATGCGGTGGACTAACAATTGTTTTGTAGCTTCACAGCTATAGGTGTCAGTAATTTGATCACAACTTGTTCCCTTTTTTGCAGAGCAGTTCATATTGCTCTTGTAAATGACAGCTGAAGTTACAGCATAGGTGGGGCAGTATGCTTAAATTTCAGTGCATGGCAGATAGGATGCACAGGGATTCACGACAACAGGGGAAGGGGTGTGGAGAAGCTAGGAACTAGTGGAAAATTATGGGGAGAGATAGTTTGATGATGTTATTTAATGTGTGGGTGAAGGTGCATTTTTTGAATAGGAGAGCGAACAGGGATGTATTGTCATTCCCATGCTCTGCCCTTTTGCTATTCCTACACATGTCACACCATAATTTGTCAAACTCAGCAGACTGCTTTTCTGCTACAGCAATTGTGGTTTCCTTTTCCACGCTGAACTCAGCTGATACCTGCAATTAGTGATAAGCATTTACTTTTTGCCAAAAAAGACTAGATAAATCTATGTTAGCAGAAATGGTTAGTAAATTCAGAGCCCTACTGGATTTATATCACATACATCAGCATCCAAGACCCCATGCCCATTATGTTTTGACACATCTAATCAAACGCCGCATCCACAGCCGCCGTGCGCCACCCCCTCGCCCCTATCTGACGCCGACCGCGACGCTGAGCCGAGCTGAGGCCTGAGCCAGAGCCAGAGCCAGAGCTGGAGCCGGAGCCGCCCCACCAGCCGCACCATGACCCAGGACCAGGTGCCCGACGAGATCAAGGTCAAGACGGCCTACAAGGGGTGAGTGGCGGCCTCCGACGCCGGGCGTCCTTCGCCGCCGGCTGTCCGTCGGCGCCGGCGCCGCCCTCGTCCGGACGGCGTGGTCCCAGCTGGTTTAAGAGCTCGGAGCCGAAAGAATTCTCCACAGCCGTCTACCCATCGTGGTGAACCTTGCCGCGTGATGGGTCGGTGGCGAGGCTGCGCTGGCCACGCTCTCTGCGTGGCTCGCTGTCAGCGGTCCCGGAGGTAACCAGGCAATAATGGAGTGTGTGCTGGGACAGCCGCCGCGTCCGCGGAGCGTCACACTTCTCAGTCTGTTCCGCATGCCCGCGGCTTCATGTTTTTAGGTGGAGGTTTAATTGATGCGTTTTTTTTTTAGTTGGAAACCGAGCACGCAAGGGCAAATAAGTGACTTTGTACGCTGTGGTCATTGCGGTCCACTGATCACAGTGGTCATCCTCAGGCGGCCTCGGCGGGATAGCCGGGACCGTCCCCTAGGTCATCTGTCTTTCCACACATCACGTGCTGTGTGCCGTTGGGGGCGCCCACCACACAGCCACGCCGCCGTCACATAAACAAAGTGATCAGCTCTGCAGACCGCATTGCCACCAGAGGCCGCCGACACGGCCACGTTTCAGACCCGCCTCAAAGCCTGGCACAATTCCTCTTGACGTTATCATCAAGTAAGGAGTGTGGAATCAGTGCGGAACCGCCTAAAGGTTTTAGTAACATCAGTACTATTTGTGTTCAATGCCAAAAGACGTCGCGCAACTGTTTGTGGGACAAAATGGGGAGCACAAGTCGAAAGTCCACGTGCCCCAACACGTGGGAGCTGACATAACATGTCATTTGTAGCCCATTGAGCGCACCACCTACGCGCAGGCAGCTGGCACCTTTCAGCTGTGTCCGTGTCGTCTGGAGGGCACGAGAACGGCGGTGCCGGTCCGAACCATTCGCTGTCACTCCCGCTCTGTCCCGCTCCCGCTTCCTCCAGTTTTGTCCCATTCCCGCTCCCGTTCTGTCCCTCTCCCCCTCTGTCCCTATATCGCTGCTCCTTAAGCGCCCGATATACCGTATCAGGCCACGTATGTAGACAGTCATGCCGGGTTGAATCCCACGATAAATCCCGCCGGAGCGGGTGCCACGTATCAACTAAGTCATGCCGGGGTGAACCCCGCGCCGGAGCGGGTGCCGCGTATGCACACAGTCATGCCGGGGTGAATCTCGCGCCGGAGCGGGTGCGGCGTATGCGCACAGTCATGCCGGGGTGAATCCCGCGCCGGAGCGGGTGCCACGTATGCACACAGTCATGCCGGGATGAATCCCACGATAAATCCCGCCGAAGCGGGTGCCACGTATCAGCTAAGTCATGTCGGGGTGAATCCTGCGCCGGAACGGGTGTGGCGTATGCACACAGTCATGCCGGGGTGAATCCTGCGCTGGAGCGGGTGCCGCGTATGCACACAGTCATGCCGGGGTGAATCCCACGCCGGGGCGGGTGCCACGTATGCACACAGTCATGCCGGGATGAATCCCACGATAAATCCCGCCGAAGCGGGTGCCACGTATCAACTAAGTCATGCCGGGGTGAATCCTGCGCTGGAGCGGGTGCGGCGTAGGCACACAGTCATGCCGGGGTGAATCCTGCGCCGGAGCGGGTGCGGCGTATGCACACAGTCATGCCGGGGTGAATCCCACGCCGGAGCGGGTGCCACGTATGCACACAGTCATGCCGGGGTGAATCCTGCGCCGGAGCGGGTGCCGCGTATGCACACAGTCATGCCGGGGTGAATCCTGCGCCGGAGCGGGTGCGGCGTAGGCACACAGTCATGCCGGGGTGAATCCTGCGCCGAAGCGGGTGCTGCGTATGAACACAGTCATGCCGGGGTGGATCTCGCGCCGGAGCGGGGGCGTTGCCACGGTCCACCGGACAGCCCCTGGAGCCGTGGGGAAGCCGGAGCGGGGGCGTTGCCATGGTCCACCGGACAGCCCCTGGAACTGCGGGGAGGCCGGAGCGGATCACTATCGGACGTCAGCACCCGCCGGTGCTCCCTCGCGTCCTCACCTCGGAGGCCATATCGCTCCCGGCGGCGGGAAGTTTGGGCGTCACCGCGCCTGCTGTTGCCTGGCGTCGCTCGTGCCGGTTGATTGGGGTCTGGTTGTGGGGTGGAGCGTTTCCAGCGGTCCTGAGGCGAGAATGCAGGCGATTTGTCGTAGTTAGTCGACCCTCGCGTTGAGACGAGATGAGTGACAACCATTTAACCTGCGTTTGATTGCATTGCGCATAAGTCTTTACCAGGTGCGGACCATCGATGCAACGATGCAACGATGCGAATACAAACTCGTAGACACACAGGCCTTTTACGCACGGTTATCGTATCCACTGAGTTATTTCTATGGCGCTTAAAACTACAAAACATTTGATTGTGTTTCGTGTTCAGTAATAGGCTTGTCACTACCACCGGTGCTTAGCACGGTGTTCTGGTGACGCCTGCTGTTCCCCCAACTCGTCATCAGCAGCGGCATTAATACCGATGGCTGCTGTCGCCGTCTGAACACGTCCTCCTTCCCGACGTCCGGCAGGGAGTTCTACATCACCTACATCAGCCCGGCGATGCGGTTCGAGGCGCTGGTGGGCGAGATCAAGGACACGTGCCGCTTCTCGCCGCAGGAGCAGTTCACCGTTAAATGGGTGGACGAGGAAGGTGAGACGGGGCCGGCTCTCTGGCGCGCCCAATCCGCGCGCCCTCTCCGCCTGCGGCACCGCGCCCCGGAGGCCGGCGCCCCTGAGCCGAGCGAGCCGAGCGGTGTGAAGGCGACGCTCCCGGCTGTTGGCAGTGTCGCCTGTCTTGTCTTATGGTCGTAATAAGTCGTTAGCAACCTCACTTTGAAACTCGCGATACTTGCTTAGTCGGGTGATGATGAGCGATGAACGATAGCTTTGATAGCTGAGGAGAATGATATGATGAACGATAGCTGAGGCGTCGTTGAGAGCATACGTAATCCCGGCATTCATTGTGGGTGCAGTGGTGAAGACGGAAGTGTTCCCGGGACCCCGGCATTCAGCAGTGACTGAGCCGGCCCTGGTTTTGGGCGCAGCTGGTGTGGATCTGATCATTCCGCTCTTGTGTCCAGAGTTGTAGATAAGATATTTGATATTCGGCTGTAAACCACCTGTAAGCTTAGTTTGAGTCATAGTCTGGTTCATTCGTCATGCGTGGTGTACAAAATGCGCATAGTTGCAATGGCAGTGCGGGTCTTGAAACGAAGTCAGCTTTCGTTTGCCTTTCGGATTTCTTCGGGCTCTTTTCTGACGTCGTGCTTGGCTTTTAGTCGGGATAAGTAAGCTTTCATTAAGTGGATGAATGGAGTGCTCATAATCTCCAGCGAGATGTGGAGTGAACTGACAGTCTGTCGTAAGTGGGCTGCGCTTTTTCCGACTGCTTTTTGTCTTAGTTTTCCCCCACTCTTGGTCTCCGGCGGCTGTCGTGACGAAGTACATGCTATGCCAGAAACCCACAATGCTCATCGTTGCGTGATCGCTCCTCTCAACTGTTGTGTTATCGGGGAGCTTCGGCCATTAAGACCATTGCAGTTAAATGCCTGCACGGGCGCTTAATGAAAGCTGTCGTGTATCAGCGTGCCGCTGGATCCGCGTCCCTCGCTGTCGCTTTCCAGCTCATTTGACGCTGATGCTCGGTAAGCCCGGGCTGCGAGGCGTTAAGCCTTCCCGCCAGCTCAGCCTGAGCGGGCATCGCGGGCCCGCTGCCCGACCTTCGACGCCACTCACGCTCCTGCTGCCGGCGTAACGGCAGCGGCCGGCCGGTGGGCGCCGGGCGCGGGTCGGCCTCCGGCGCGGCCTCGTCAGCCGCCACTGGGCTGAGCCGGCTGTCCGGCCGGGCGGGCCGTCACGCGGCCGGGCCCGTCTGCTCAGCGGGCCGGCGGCGCGCGCGCCTCGTCCGCCTCCTCCGGCAGGACGGGCCGCGAGGCGGCCGCTGCCGCGTCCTCACATGTCGTGCGGCCTCGTGAGAAGGCCACAGACAACAGCTCTGCCGTCGCCGGCTGGCGGCAGTGCTGCTGAAGGCCCAGTCGTAGCATGCGGGTCCCGGCCGCTCGCCCGAGCTGTGGGGGCCGGTGACGTCATGACATGTTCCGGTGACGTCACGCCGCTGGTGGCGTGCACCGGTGACGCAGCTAAGCCCGTGCCGTGCGCCAATGGCGTCGTTTCGTCTGTGCAGTACTGTGACGTCATGCCTGGGATCCGTCGGCAGGCGACCCGTGTACGCTGTCGACCCAGGAGGAGCTGGAGGAGGCCATTCGACTGTACGAGGTCAACAAGGACTCGGAGATCACCATCCACGGTGAGTGACGCCGCCTCATGATGTGGGCTTCAGGGAATCCCCCGACAGGCGCGCTCCAGCCAACACACTCATGGGTGCTGGCCAGACAAGTCAGTTGTGTCCAACTCTTAACACGCGCTTGAGTGGGGTGGGGAGGGGGGGGGGTTCGAGTTGACCCCTCCGAAGGTTTTTCCAGAATGGTTTCCGAACGGCGGTACGTAGCCGCGCCAAATTTTGCATAACTGTAGACAATTGAATGGCGGATCGTTTAAGATACAAATTCAGATGTACCTTGTAAGGTCGCTGAGCTATGGCAGGTCAAAGTCAGGCCATGGTTTCAGCGAAGGCAAGTTCAAGGGAATCGTCCATGTAGTGTTTGATGAAACCATACATCTCTGATATGCTTTCTTAGGCACTACCAATATTGAATGAGCAAATAACGTTGACCTAAGGTCAGGTATGAGGGTCAGACCAAGGCCACAACCAACCTGATTTATGACTCTGGGGCTTGTCGTATGAGATAGTTTGTGGTGCTCATTTCGAGTTTATTGACAGCAGGAACCGCATTGTACATCTTCCATTGACTTCTTGGAGGTCAGAAAAGGTCATTGACCTAAGATGACCCGGGTCGACATTTTGTTCTATGAACATACTGCCTAGCGTAATCTTTGTCGGTTGTTCAAATGCAAAACTCAGAGCAGTTTTGTGTGATTTTGGTCACCATGACCTACAATAGGTCAAACAAGGTCACTAACCTCAAATGGGCTCTTAAATTTTTGCATAGATGCAGTTTCCTAGGTTCTGGGGGCACTTTCGTGACCAACGTAGAATTTGGCCTTGTTTGACCTTATTTGACCTGAAGGTCATGACATAGGAAGCTCAAAATTTGACCTGAGTGAGTTCACGTATAGGTCAAGACACACTGGAAATTTGGTGCCTCTAGCTTTCTCGGTTTCCGAGATCTTAGGGGGGTCCAAATTGACCCCCCCACCCGAACGAAGGGTATCTAGCCGGCCACCCGGGCGCGTGTTAAGGTACAAATCCCAAATGGGAACGACCAGACGACGCTCAGTAAGCAACGTCGAAAAGGTTCTCAAAGGTCGAAAAGACCATTTTCACCGATGTTACAGCATTTCGGTGGACTGCACAAGCTTTGTACCAACTTGGTACGGGGTTTCCACAGCATGATGTAGTCAAATAACACAATACCGCGAAAAAGGATGCGAAGAATTAACCGAAATGCGTATTCATGGGCGGGCATGGGTATTCGTGACATGGCACAATATCTGTGCTCCGCTGGCACCATACGCTGGCTGCCTTATCACGGGAGTAGCGAATGCTCCACAGCTATACCACTCCTCCGTGGAACGTGCTCTGACAATTGGCTGTCTGGGAGCGGTCGTTTGACAGCGTCAACGACGATAGTGTGATCAAAATAGCACACGTATGTGGAGTGCTCTGGGTTTACGAGCAAATGAGTGTAAATTGAAGAACTGAGCAGTTGCAATGATTTGTGTAAAACTGGGATGGCGATGGGGGATGAAATGCGTGCGATGAAAGACTAAAAGAAAAACAAAACAAAGAAGGAAAAACGAGAACGATAGCCCCTGTTGCTGCTGAGCGCGATCCGTTGAGGATCGCATGCTATGCGGCGCGCCGTGCATTAACCGACAGTTCTGTGGTCGTGTCGTCCACGGACCAGAAACTTTCAATTTCGTCAAATTCGCAGATCATTATTTTGAGCGGTATGGGCGATCCTGTTTGGAAACAGCTGGTGTTTGGTCGGTCCACACTCACTCACCGGCAGTCGGTCCGAGCTCTGGAACCTGGGGATGCATGCCTGAGGGGTGCATCACCCGTCCAGTCCGGGAGGCGAGCGTGGCCGCCCAGGCCACGCTGCCGTGGCGCCGCTGTGCACCACACACCCCGCACGTGTGACGTGTGAACCCGATCACCGCACGTGTGAAACCCGATCCGGAGTGGGCCGTTGGCCGGCGGTGGGCGCACGAGTCCGGCGCGCGCGCGACAGACGGCCGCCCGGTGTCCGGTGCACAGCGGCTGGTGCTGGCCGCGTGCGGCGACGGCCGCGGAGGCTCGTCAGCGACGCGCGGCGGCTGCCCCCGCGGACGCGACCGCGACTCGTGAGGCGTGCGCCGGCGGGACGGCTGTGCGGCGGCAGGCGGGTGCGCCGTGCGCGCCGTGTGTGCCGAGGCTGGCGCTCTCTCTCCCGGCCGCTCGCCGCCATCTGAGCTGGGTGGCATGGCGGCGTTCGATGTCGACCTGCTCCCCGCGCCGCCGTCCGCTCCTGCCGCCGTGGTGCCGTCGCTTCCGTAAGCTTGAGTGGTGTTTGCCGCGGTGCCGCGTGGTGTGGACACCTCTGCCCACACCAGCTGACCTTAGTCGGTGTTTTGGCCGAGTTCTGCGGCTTTTAGATGTGGTATTGACGCCACTCACGGCTCAGTGTGCTGGGCGGTGTTGACTTTTCTCCCTTTGTCTGTAATTCCGGCTGTCGTGTGAGCTGTGGCGCTGACAGTCTCTGTCGTATCGACTGAGGTTTTCTCCCGCTGTGTGGTGTTGGCTGCGCCTGTGCTGACGCCCCTCCCTGTCGTACTGACGCCCCCTTCCAGCCGTGCTGACGCCCCCCCCCCCCTGCCGTACTGATGACCCTTCCTGCCGTACTGACGCCCCTCCCTGCCGTACTGACGACCCTTCCTGCCGTGCTGACGCCCCTCCCTGCCGTACTAACGCCCCTCCCTGCCGCGGTGACTGGTAATGACTGCGGTGCTGTCGCCCCTCCCCGTCATGTCGACTGAGACGTTGACTGTGGTGTTGGCTGCGGTGATGAGACTCGCCCGGTCGTGCGACGTTGTCTGCCCTCCTTTCCGTGTTAGGCCCTGCCGCCCGTTCGCGCGTCACTGACCGTGACGCCGACCGCCACGCGCCGTTCCTGCGTGGCTCCTCGGCGCGGGTGTTGGCGCCCTCCCAACGCCGTGTTCGCCGCGGTGTTGACACCACCGTGCCGTGTCGGCGCCGATGTTGACGCCCCTCCGTGCGGTCTGGGCAGCGCTGCGGCGCCCAAACCTCCACGATTGAAATCGATGCGCCAGTGGGCCGTGGCCGCCGGGGCGCGCGCTGGCCGGCGGGGTCGCCGGCGGCCGCGGTGTACGCGCCGCGCCGGCTCAAAACACCATCTGCCGCCCCATCATCCTGCCGCGATGGATGAGTCGCGTGCGATACGCGGCCCGCGCTGTGAGCGCCGGGGCGCCGCCGGTCCGGTCCGCCCGCGGAGATACGGCGGCTGACGAGAAGGCGAGAGGTCGCCCGGCTGGGTCTGCAAATTTATCAAGTGAGGCTAATGATGGCGTCGCTTGCGCGGGCCCGCCGGAGTGGCTCCCAGTTTTGGAAATAGGGCGCGGCGATTGGTAAAGAAGTTGGCGCGCCGCTCGGGACAGTGATTGGATGGAGCCGCCGGCGAATGGGCCAAACAGCTGACTCGGGCCCGGGCAGAGCGGGGCGGCGTCAGCGCATCTGCCGGCGCTGATTAGCGTCTGGTGGCGACGGGCGCAACAGACGACCCGCCGAACCGGGCGCCGGCCGACCGCGCTGAATGACGGCTCGAGGAGGAGTTGTGCGGACGCGCAAGGCGTGCGACGGTTTGGACGTCGGGTTTTGTGACCCGTTGGACGTTCGGTCTGGCCGGCGCGGTATTGATCGTTTCCCGGCTGGGATTTTATGCACTGTTCGAAGCCGTGCATCTCACTTCCCAGGCGTCTTTGCCTGCCGGTGAATGCCAGACGACACACAAATTGCAGCATTTGCAGCTTGTTGTTCAAGAAGGCGATGAACGGCTCTTCGATTCGGTCGCGCTCTGCGAAGCCGAGAGCGTGCGGCAGTGGGAGGCAGTCCGGCCAGTTTTTACAGCGCGGTCCGCAGCGCGCTGCCAGGCGGCATAGTTAACATGGGGATGCTGACGCTTAGCGAATACGCGCACTGTACGAGCTGTAAATTGTGAGATGAGTTAATTAGCACTCTAATAGGATTGGCCCAGCGCTCAGTCCCGGGGGGGATTTTCCGCGTTGGCGCCGCCACCAGCTGTACTTCGGGCCAACCCGAGCTGCCGTGACCCCGTGGAGGATTTTGCCGCGGCAGAATTTAGTCTGAGATGGCCCACCCGGGACAGGCACACCTGGCGGAGACCGACGCCGGCCAGCTGAGCCCGCGCGCTGACAGGGTGACTGAAGTCTAGGCTCGACACCAGTTACGTACTCACAGCCAGAGCGGGCCGGCCGCGACCTAAACTGACCTTGCCTGACCTCATGTGCCGACTGGCGGCGGGAATCGGCCCAGGGCGTGACCCGACCGAACGTCGCCCTGACCGGAGCTGTCCGCTAGTCAGCGACAGGACTGGAGTCTCCTAAGGAGGAGGACAGTAAGGAGTGGTAGGAACAGGGAGCGAGAGGAGGCCTGCTGCAGCAGTAGAGCGAGGGTAGGCCAGGGTAGACTGCCGCGCCTGCAGTCGCCCCTGACGGCACCGCGACGTGGCGCCACGCACCGACGCGGTGTGTGCGCCGGCCGCCGGCGGGCGCCGCTGGCCGGCCGGTCGCTCCCGGCAGCGCTGAGTCGGCACCCCTCCAGGCCCGGCGGCGTCAGCTGGCGATACGGGCCACCTAGCGCTGTCGCACGCGCACCACCGACCCGACCAACGTTGTCTGTGGTGGTGTGAGGCTTATTTACGGCGCGTGCAACTGACAGATCATTAACGCTGCGGGGAACCTTACTGCGGAGGATGAATCGAAACACAGTTGCTGGGAGTTTTGAACGCACACCCTTGGGCTTCTGAGTCAAGCGTGCCGCCGCCTGGCGATGACATGCCAGGTGAGGTGGCTCACGGCCGTAGAGGGCGCGGCAGATGCTTTCGGAAAGGCCGCGAGGGTTCCCTTCTGTGACCGTGACCTCGCCGACCAGGTCAACACGACGCGCCGGCTGCGTCACGCCGACCCCGACCAGTGACGTCATGGCCG